CAGGTGAGTCGATGGAGCATACAATAATATGAAAGGAAGATTTTTTTTTTTATAGAAATTAATAAATAAGTTTGAGTTGGTGATGGAAAATAAAAAGAGAGGAGAATCATTATTACTTTGTTTATTTTTTTGAAATAGAAAAATTAAAAAAAATATATAAACATTAAAAAAATTTAAATATAGTATGTGTTTATGTATGTATATAAGGTTAGCATTTAGTTGGAACAAACATATGTATATGGGGCATTCCATACCAATGTGGACGGGGTTCACACTTCATGAAATTTGAGCTTGCCTTATACATCTTTAAAAACTTTCCAACACAAAAACAAAAACAAATCGATTTAATAGTTTTCCAAATATCTCGAGAACGGGACGAGGAAAAAATCAAAAAAAAAATCATACATACACACATCAAAATTCTCTATAAAACGAGATATTTAAAACATTTTTGTTCTTGAAAAATTTTTCACATACAAATTTTTTGTAATTTTTTCACATACAAACTTTTTGATAAAAAAAAAATAGTTTTTGAAAATATGCCAAAACAAAATTGAAAGAAATCACAATGGTTGCTCTGAGTTTTGCGCAATATTTAAATATTAAGACCTTTTAAGCTTAAACTGTTCTATCATCTGAGATAATTTTTTGGAAAAATATTTTTTAAAACCAATTTTATTTATAAAAAATAAAAATGAATCTTTAGGTATTTTGAAATCAGCCTAGCCCACGTAAATATTAAAATTTTTCTGAAATATTTTGGCGGAAGTTTTAAAATAACATAATGCCGATGGAAAAACAGTACCTCTGTTTTTGTATTGGGAATGAGTAAATGAGTTTAAATAAATAAATAAAATTTTACATGCCATACGTGTGAAACTCCATTGTAAAGCACCCAGCAGCTTTTAATATATTTACATATGTAAAAAATTACTTCTCTCGTTTTGAATTCACAAGGTGTCATAAACGTCATATTTTCATAAATTTAAAACGCTTAAAATAGTTTTTGGTTTTTGTGAATCACTTAAAAATATTTTAAATTTTTATAAAATCTATTACATTGTGATAATATGACTAGTTATGACACCCACAATTAATTTCATTTCCTCACATTTCGCTTTAGTCCTTTTTGCTTCATTCCATTTCGTTTCATTTAAATTAACGTCGTTTCATTTCATTTCGGAATATTTTTTTGGTTATTATTATTAAATTCTTATATCCCGTCTCTTAATCCCTCAATTAATTTCACTTCAAATTTTTTAATTTTACTGTTTTTTGGTTTCTTCCGTTTCGTATCATTTAATTCCGTTTCATTTCGATTTGTTTCTTTTTGTTTCATTTTATTTTTTTAATTCTTTTATCTATCCCAGTTTTGCCAATCAGTTTTAAAATTTATTTAACTGTTAAAATATAAAATTACACCATTTTGTTCGGTAATTTTGTTGCTGATAAATTTAAAATTGGTTGGTACAACCGGGCATTAGTTTTTCAATTTAATTTTAGTTTACTCCTCACTAATTTATTTCTAATATCTTTGCAATATTTTCAATTTGATTCCACTGCCACACAGGGCTCTTCGAAACATTTTATACCACACAGTGCCATAACCAGCTCCGTGCAAACAGATGACATCGTTGCATGCGTTTTGTTGCTATATAATCCGGCAACAAAATGTCCATTGCACGTACACGCCTACCGTTGCGATTCCGAGTCCACAGCTGAAGCGTTGCATCAACAGCTGCAAATATTAATCAATCGCCCAGAAAATCAAAAACGCTTTGAGGAATTGGAAACACGGTGAGTAGGCAAATTTTTATTTATAATTTATTCGTTGTAAGTTTCACTCAACTTTCATTCATATAAGTGCATATGTATGTACATAAGTATATACAAGTTTGTGTCTTAAGTCTTCCGTTTTTAAATGTCTTGCAAAATGTAATATCAAAATATAAGTTGCAAGTGAAAGTAATAGAAATCTTTGCAGAAATTTTCGTCGATTGACGAATATCAAAAGGTGTAAAATTTAAATGAGTAGCATACACCATTTTATGCGATTGTTTCGTCTGCTATTAGTTTTCCAAAATTGAGGAAATAATTTGTTGAACGGCAGCATCACAGAAGCATGCAAGGAAGTCAATAGCAAGAAATATTTTTTTTTTGTTTTTACTTTTATTAGAAAACGCGCAAGTTCGCACTATGTATATTTGCAATAAACGCAACAACAAATAGTTTTGTTTTCTTTACTTTTGGTGCGGTAAAACACACACACGTGCATTTAATGATATGCATAGAAATTTCAAGTGAAGATTTTCTTGCTGGCAGCAATAATCATTACACGGAAATAGTTGCAGCTATAATAAAAACTTGGAAACGTGGAAAATAAAACACAAAATATATCTACGTATGTAAAAATTTATTTTAAAAAAAAATTCAATGAATTTTAAAATGATGCGCATTGATTGCACTTAAGTGCCACAACACAACGTTGGCAGCTCGCCTTGCCAGCCTATATGGCAGCAAAGTAGGCAAATCCGCTACTCGTGATGCAACCACCTAACTCCTTTTACGATTCTTCCTCAATTGTCGCCTGGTTGCATGTGACATGCGGCTGCGAGGTTGGCAGTGGCAACAGCAACGGCAAAGATTTTTGTGACACGTCTCGCGCGCAATGCGCGTTTTTTTTGCTTTGCTTTGTTTTTATTATTTTTGTTTCGCTGCAAATATGCACAGTTACTCCATTAGTTTATAATGGGCTTATATGACACAGTCATTAATTAATTGTGGCAATAATTGTAAAAATGAAAATGTAGCCGCCAGCACCGTTGCCAGAAATTTCTTGGGAATTTCAGAGCCCATCAAAATGGAAAATGGAAATGGGAAGCACGAATGCCAGTTGTCAGCTGTCGACTTTCTCTGAATGGTTAATCAGGGTGAAAATGGCAAACTCAAGTGCAATATTTTCTAGCCTTTTTTACGTTGTGCACAATATTTTTGGGTAGTACGTACACTGGCGGCAGAAATAATAGACTCGTCGTACTTTTTAAGAATTTTGGCTATGTTTACATATTTAGTTTATTTTATGTTTAATATTTTTTTTTATAAAAGCTACAAAAATTATATAAATTGGACAAATTTTCACCAAGTTTTCAAACTTTTTATCCAGAATTTAAAGAAAAATACAAAAATACAAAAAAAAATTCAAAAAACGTCGTTTCTAGCCACTTAAAACTTACACTTTATTATGCTAAAATTGAATGGGCTACAAAACTGCATAAATTTTTCTAAAAATTCTGAAAAAACTGCAAATTTGTCTAAAAATTCTGAATAAAAAGTTTAAAATATTGGTAAAGATTTGTCGAATTTTTATATGTAATTTTTTTTTGTAAAAATTTGAAAAGGAAATTTATATGGTGTTTGTTGTATAACTACCCAGGCTTTTATAAACAATTATTAAACATAAAATAAACCATGGAATAATAGCCAAGACTCTTCAAAGTAAGGCGAGTCTATTATTTCTGCCGCCACTGTATACATATATGCATGTGGTTTCTTACATGTATACACATGAATATAAATAGTTTTTATTCTGCTAGTCAAATTCCCATTTCGCGTTGACGCATGTCTAAAATGTATTCTTATTTTTCCTTTAGCAACTGTCAAGTCTTCAAGTCTTTAGTTTGGCTTTATGTGCATATGAATGTAGTATGTGGAAGCGCGGCGCTTTCTCCTTTGATTTCTACCTGCTATCAATTGCTAAGTGGGCGCAAATGCTGTCTTTGGTGAAAATAAAATTACTCTAACATAATTTGGCGCCCGTTGACACACTAACACCTGACACTAGCGACGTCGGCATTGAACCTTTTTTTGCTTTTGAAGTTTCATATAAGCCTATAGCGCAGATTTTGAAATGTGCGAAATTCCTTATTAATACGCTAACAATCAGCAATGTGTAGAGAATTTGGACTGCCAAGAAATATATATGTACATATATGCATGTGCAATACTAATTCACTAAGTTAGGGGAAAATATTAAAATTGCCGGCCGTCACCTGGTGGAAGATGTTTAAAAATTAGTGACTTTTGAGGAGTATGTTTTCAGGAAAAACATACATACGTCTTTGGTTTCCGTAGTCCAAAATATGGCACAGTTACTATTATTGCAACCTGGTTAAAGCCGCCAAATTCTATAATTTTACAGTATTTTAAAAAGTTAAAAGCTTAAATTGGAAAATATATACATATATAAAAGCAGCGATAACGCAATGAAAAGTTTATTGAAACGCCAGCAGGGATCTTTGGGTATATGCTGTGAAAAAAAATTATGGAAAATCAATTTTAATCATGTACGTACATTAGGGTGGCCCAAAAATGCATGCGGTAAGAAAAAATTTAAAATGTTAAGCTCTCATCCCATAGGATTTTCCCAAAGGGAAAAAGAATATCCGTATTTTTTTGTATAAAAAAAAGATATTTATAACTGCCATGTATTTTTATATGGGGAAAAACACGTATTCGAAGAAATGGTATCGAATTCTTGAATATGTTTCGATTGGAAAACTCGGTTTCTCTTTAGAAGACTTCCAAGAACAATACTCGATAATTTATTTGCAAAAGTTTTTACCATTTTCTGTAGTCTAGATCCTTCATTTTTCAATCGAAAAATATTTAATTTTTAATGAAAGCTTAAATTTATAAGAGAGTGGTTGAACCCGATCTTTGAGTTTTTATTTGTTTATATTCAACTTTTTGTGCGAATTGCAGTGAATGATCGTTTTAAAGAAAATCGATTCTGCCGTTGCTGGTTATAAATGTTACATAATAAAAACTAGTTGAAAACAACTAAAACGAAAAAATGCAAAAGTAAAATTTATAAAAAAAATCACCAAAATTTTTGTGTAATAAAGTGCAAGTTTCAAGTGGTTGATTTGCTATTTTTTTGCTGACATTTCCTGCATGCTTTATACATATGGCAGAAAATGCTTAGCACCATCTCTTTGAGTAGCCTCCGCTTTCTTCTGACAGCTTGCATGCCGGTCTTGCTCAGCCATTTGTATTATTTCATCGACTTTTCCAGAGAGTGGCTTACCAGTGCGATGTGCATATTTGGCATAAAATTTTCCGTAACGGAATTCGGCAATCTATTCTCGACACTCCGCAAATTTTTTTATACTAAAATACCAGCTTATATTTAAGGATTAGCCAACAATACTATGCCGTCAAAAAAGTTTTAACCCCAACCAACTTAAATTGGGATTGAAAGGGTTAACTTCGAACCCATAGATATAATCCCTCGAGTAGTAGTAGAGTAAGTTTATTAGCCATTTAGCTTTATTCATCTTCTTACTTAAGAACAATCGTTTCCCAACAAAACACATACTAACGGGTGATTTTTTAAGAGCTTGATAACTTTTTTTTTAAAAAAAACGCATAAAAACATTTACTTTTTGAAGATAATTTCATTTAAATGTTGACCGCGGCTGCGTCTTAGGTGGTCCATTCGGAAAGTCAAATTTTGGGCAACTTTTTCGAGCATTTCGGCCGGAATAGCCCGAATTTCTTCGGAAATGTTGTCTTCCAAAGCTGGAATAGTTGCTGGCTTATTTCTGTAGACTTTAGACTTGACGTAGCCCCACAAAAAATAGTCTAAAGGCGTCAAATCGCATGATCTTGGTGGCCAACTTACCGGTCCATTTCTTGAGATGAATTGTTCTCCGAAGTTTTCCCTCAAAATGGCCATAGAATCGCGAGCTGTGTGGCATGTAGCGCCATCTTGTTGAAACCACATGTCAACCAAGTTCAGTTCTTCCATTTTTGGCAACAAAAAGTTTGTTAGCATCGAACGATAGCGATCGCCATTCACCGTAACGTTGCGTCCAACAGCATCTTTGAAAAAATACGGTCCAATGATTCCACCAGCGTACAAACCACACCAAACAGTGCATTTTTCGGGATGCATGGGCAGTTCTTGAACGGCTTCTGGTTGCTCTTCACTCCAAATGCGGCAATTTTGCTTATTTACGAAGCCATTCAACCAGAAATGAGCCTCATCGCTGAACAAAATTTGTCGATAAAAAAGCGGATTTTCTGCCAACTTTTCTAGGGCCCATTCACTGAAAATTCGACGTTGTGGCAGATCGTTCGGCTTCAGTTCTTGCACGAGCTGTATTTTATACGGTTTTACACCAAGATCTTTGCGTAAAATCTTCCATGTGGTCGAATAACACAAACCCAATTGCTGCGAACGGCGACGAATCGACATTTCACGGTCTTCAGCAACACTCTCAGAAACAGACGCAATATTCTCTTCTGTACGCACTGTACGCATTCGTGTGGTTGGTTTAATGTCCAATAAAGTAAACTGAGTGCGAAACTTGGTCACAATCGCATTAATTGTTTGCTCACTTGGTCGATTATGTAGACCATAAATCGGACGTAAAGCGCGAAACACATTTCGAACCGAACACTGATTTTGGTAATAAAATTCAATGATTTGCAAGCGTTGCTCGTTAGTAAGTCTATTCATGATGAAATTTCAAAGCATACTGAGCATCTTTCTCTTTGACACCATGTCTGAAATCCCACGTGATCTGTCAAATACTAATGCATGAAAATCCTAACCTCAAAAAAATCACCCGTTATTTTAAGACCCTGTAAAACAGCTAAAAAGAAAAAAGAAGTAAAAATTAAAAATATGTAAAATGTATTTTTATGCGCTCAAAAGGTGGTAAATGCATACATATGTATGTATGTTTGTATATTAAAAAAAAAAAGTTGCTATAAATTCTTTCCACACCTCCTAAATATTTACAATTTATGTGAAAAATAGATTTATGTAAAAATTATTGCAAAAACTACCCACAAATTATTCACTGATTCGGCACAAAAATTCTTTAATGCAAAAGAAAAATATTTCACGATTTGAAATTCAATCCATGTCGCTTACGTTGGCGTCTTACCAGTTCGCCAGCACATTTGGCATCTTGAAAATGTCAACTCGAACGCCAACAAGCAGACAGACATGAAGACAGCAGAAAATCAAATAAAACCAAACCAGATCAGGCCAAGTCAACGACGACTACGACTAGGTATGACAACAAAATAAGCCAACTGACTGGTAGGACCACACAAAAGAACATACCTTTATATATTCATATAAACAAACAAACATACATACATACACACATGTACATATGTATGTATGTATTTGTATTGCCATAAATGAGTAAATGATGTAATCGTTTTGGCGTTGATTTGTTTTAAGGTGCAGCAGGCAGTTGTCGTGTAAGTAAATTCAATAAAAAATTTATAAATTTAACCAAAAATATATATATATATATTTAATAAAACAAAGTGTGCAATAAAAAACGCTTAACCTTAATCCGCAATTCAATGCGACAGACAGCGCATCTTTACCTACCCCCAACCATCGTTACTTCGATAAACAAGCCACAAAAAAAAAAAAAACATTCTGAATTCAACACTGACTGAGCCTGCTGCATATGCAGTTATTGCTGCGGGCCAGTGGGGGCGTTGTGCTATTTTGGTACGCTGTAATTTTTTGTTGCTTTATACCTAAAACTATGTTTGGAACAGATAAGGTTTAGCAAAGCTAGTTTACTGTCGCCACGAATTCGCATTTGCATAAATAATTTGGTGTGCGAGCAACATGTTGCTGCTCAGCATTAGATTTAGCATTTTCATGGCATTACAAGTTGCTAGTAGACATTCGATATATGTACATTAAGAAAGCAACAAACAAAGAAATTGATTACATTAGGATGAAATTTATATTTGGAGTTAGAATTTACGGTTGCATAAATTATTAATCCCACCCATTTAAATACATAAATGGTAAAGCTAAGAATAACTAAAGTGCCACGTAACCCAATTTAGATAGAAACAATTTTCCAACTGTATTTGTTATTTTTAGGGGTTCCATTTTCCAATAGCGATAAATCGGTAACAATTTGGTCAATCCATGTCAAATCGACCATTTTTGATATTTCGGTCTGAACTTTTTTTATTATGTAACAATGTAAAATAATAACCAAAACCTCAAAAAAAATTTACGGTGTCGGCCACTTGAGTAGTAGGGTCCCATTTTGATACTCCGTATTGAAAATTTTCCTTCTGCTTCTTCCATGTAAAAAAATAGGCGAATATACTTTGCATGGAAGAAAACGGGCAACGCCTTCGGAAAAAAATCTCAAAAATTAACGCGTTTTTTAGAAACTTGGAATGTGTGCTTTATTATAATAAAACTAAACGTGTTAGTAAAATTTCGTTCTCCAGGTTTCTTTATTTTTAATCGACTTCACAAAAAGGAAAAGGTTATCAGTTCGTCGGAATATATATATTTTTTTTGTTTATTTCTATAATTCTTTTTTAGAGGAAAGGTGTTACCTCACAGGTGGTCCCATACTAATTTGATTTAAATCCGACCATTGGATCATGAAGAAATTAATGATAATCTTAAATTTTTATATGAGAATTGAAGTCGATTTTGTTTTTTGCTTAAAAATTACTTGTTAGTTGGAAATTTTAATTAAAATTTTTGGGATTAATATAAATTTGGTAATGATAAATTTTTATAAAAAAAATATATAATTAATATTAAAAAAACAAAAGGAAAACTGTCACTACTGAGCATAAAAAGGAGGCGCTATTCAAGTGGCCCGCACTGCATTTCTTCGCATTTCATTTTCTCCATGCATGTACAATGCTCAGCTAACTGAATAAACTTAACAGGTTTGTTTTGGGGAATCTGGCTCAAATTATGTACATATATGCAATTAAATAGCATTTGTGGTATTGTTTCGCTAATTGCGGTCAATTAGGAGCTTAACTGCTCATTATTCCTTATTTTAGAGTTTGAATTTCCTCAGTTGAAAACTTTTTGCAATGAAAAAATGTCCAACCCTAATGTATATATAAACTAGATTACCTACATACTTATATGTATGTGTTTGTATGTGTTTGTGTGCATGCGCTTGTCAAGTTTAGTTTATGGCGCCCTTTGGCAAGTGTGGACGCTTGGAGTCGCGCATAAATTTCAGCTGACGGAAGTGCACTAGCTGGCGGTTAACCATTTCAACTGTGCTTGTGTCTAGAAGGCATAACTTGCAATGCAACTTTTATAACGCTTGCCACACGCCTACCTGTTGACGTGTAGGCAATGTACGTGCGAACACACTTACTTACATACTTGTACTTACATAGATTTTTGATCACCTATTTTCGTAAAAAATACTATGTAATTTTTTTAGAACTATTTTCTCATCCACTTATTCGCATTTGTCTTTCCCTTTGTTTTTTTTTCAGTTTGGGTATCCTGCCGCCATTGCCCACGTCCGGCGGCGGCAACAAATCTACGTCCCATATGGCCAGCAATGGCCACAACAACGAACATAACAGTATGCCGAAGCAACACTATTTGTCACAACAGTCTCAATCACAACACCAACAAAAGCAGCAACAGCATCATCGTCGCCACGAATCGTCGCCCAAACGCTTCAGCTCATCGTTGGGCAGCGACACCGGCAACAGCACACGCGAATCCGAGTGTAGCGAGGAACATAGCGGCGGTTCGCCTGTTTCACGTTCGCCACCCGTCACAGCGACCACAAAACCGCTGCCACTGCCACAGCCCACCAATGAGTTGTTCGATTCGTTGGCTGCGGAGCTGCGTGCCAAGTTGAATGGCAATGGTCCGCCTTTGTTACTGCCACCGCGCGACTATGACACCGTACATCGGTCCAAGGGCAACTTAACGGCAATCGAGCTGCGTCGCTGCCGAAATGCGTTGATCGTTGGTGGCGCCCCACCCAATGAGACGGCAGTGCCTGCCAGTGGCAAGCAGGTATCGTCGCGCGGTTCATCGGGCATTGGTTCGGATTTGGCACCGAGCCCGGAGCGTCAGGATCTGAATAGCTCAAGCGGTGAGTAGCTGAGGCAAATTTAATTAAAATTTTGTTGCAAAAAATAATACAAATATGTTATTATTACCTTTCATCTTTCCAGACGATGAACAATGGTCTAACGAAGCGGACAACTCGGTAATCGCGCTAAAGCCGTCACAAATCGCAATGGAGCGTTCGCCGCCCATTATACCGCATCATCCACAGTTGAACCGCAAGAGCGCCGTTCAGCCACCCGAAGACAGTTACTTACGTGATTTGCCGGCTAAACCCTACACACCTCGCCAGAGCGCAGTGAGCAACGCACGAGAACGCGAGAAAACCCCAGCGTCCACACATGAGCGCGACACACGCTCCAAAACTCCTTCGACGACGAGTTGGTCACGCGAAGACGAAATTAAACCGATTATTATGCGTCCAGCCGATTACGATGCAAAATTCAATCGCATAATGCAAGCCGAGACAAAGCACGACTATCATCGCCGCGCTGATGGTGGTGGTGGTGGTGGAGGCGGCAGCGGCAGCGGCCTTAGGGAACGCGACCGCGAGCGCGAACACGCAAAGCTGCGCGACACCGACAAATACAACGAAATCAATCGCTTACTAAATAAGAAGCTTTCACTGGAACGTGAATCTCCGGAGAAACGCTTTGCTAAACACACGCTGGATGAGCCTGATCGCTTTGAAGACTCAGACCCACCTAGTGAACACATAGCGGTGCACCCGACGTCTAGCTATCGCAAAGAGAATCTTACGGATAAGCAGAAATTCATTGAATACACAGCAAAGAAACAGTCAAAATCGTATGCGGCCGAGGAGGCGCAACGCTATGGTGGGCGTCATCGCTATGTTGATCCAGCCGATCTGCCGTTTGAACAGTCCACAGGCCATAACAAGTACGCTGCCGTACATCGTAGCACACATTCACCGGAACGCACCAGTCATGACCACACCGCACGCATGGGTGAGCGAGAGCGGGAACCAGAGCGCCTGCGCGAAAGGGAACGCGTTCGTGAGCGGGAGCAAGAGCGCGACCACGCGCACGATCGTAAGCAATACTCACGCAGCAATGAGCGTAATCCATATCGCGAACCTGAAAGTCTACCCTACATACAGAGCATGGAGAAGATGATGAAGTCATCGGCAATGCGTTACAAGGCATTCGATGGTGCACTGGAGCCTACCGCGGTTGCGCCACCTAAAGAAGAGCTTCACCCTAAGCTCAGCGCACAGCGTAGCAAATCGTATACAAAGCGCGGCGAGGATGATGGCCATCCAACAGAGTATGCGCACTCGACTAGCAGATCTGATGTCACATCCAAGGATCGCTTCAAAGATGCCAAGGACAAATTTCGCGCTATGGAACGCACCGGCAGTCGGTATAACCTAAACGATGAGAAGGACGTCACCGACTATCGACCACGACGCCGCGGCTTGGTCGAACCTTCTGACAGCGGACGCCCATATGCCGATTGGAGTGATGAAGAGCTCCTCGACAATTCGCCACCACCAGTCGCTAGCCGTTCGCGCTCTCGCTCACGCGGGCAATTGTGGGAAGAAAATGGTATGCCGGCGCGTGAAATGTTACCGCCACGTGAACATCATGTGCGCGAACGTGGCCGCGAACGGCAGTATCAAGAATACGCGCCAGATGTGCGTCCAATGCGTGAAATGCCGGCTAAACGCACCGATCCACATCGAGCGATGCGTGAGCGCTCTACCGACTTGACAGATGCGCGCGACCCCTACCGGGAAGCTTATCGGTATGAAAAGCGCGTCATGCGTGATCACTCACGCGATACGCCGCCAACACGCGACGAACGCGAACGCCATCGAGAGCCGGTGCGTCACGAATATTCACCAGATGTGCGCACAGGACCGCCTGAGCATCGAGCCAATCGCCGACAAGCTGATAAGCACGCGGACTACTACCCTACGCCCACGCCGCCACCACCCACCACCGGTGCTCCAATACCCAATCCGAAGGGTATCTCCAATTTGACCAAAGGCTATCGTCACAGCTATGCGGAGCCGGTATTTGCGCGTGCCGGTGGACGCGTTGGTCTGGCGGCCGTTAACCCGTACTAAGTAAAGAGCGGATATGGGAATTGATTTGAAAGCAGGAGCAGTGTTTTTGCTGTAATATTACTAATAAAAACTAATATTAAGCTAAGATTTGATCAATGCAGAGAAAAACAAATTTAGTTTAAATGCAAAGAGGTGAATACGTACGTATGTGTTCTGAAAATCTAATATTCTATTTACATTTACATGTATCTNAATTTAGTTTAAATGCAAAGAGGTGAATACATACGTATGTGTTCTGAAAATCTAATATTCTATTTACATTTACATGTATCTACTCACTGTATGATTTTTTTTTTAACAAATATGTATGGATATGTAAAATTAATGGAAATTTATTAACTATTTTTAACCAAGTCATGTACTCATTTTATTGGAAGCCGACACATTCCAGTCGTTAAACGAAAAACATAAAATGCTCAATATTTTTGTATGTAAATAGTACATACATATGTACCACAGAATATTTAAGCTTTCGAAATGCCTTTTTCTCACTACTGGGATATGTATGCCTTAGTAACTTTAGTCAAAAAATTGTCTACCAAGAATGTGCCTTTTTATACGATCGAACTAGTTAAATTAAATAATGGGAAAAAACTCAATGAAATTTGAAGAAAAAATCATAAACACAAATTATGTCAAGCATGCACGCGTTCGACTATATATTATGTATGTTTGTTTGTCTATAAATATTTACTTATTATGTACATATGTATGTATCGATGTAGTACGTTTCCACTTAGCGTTTAAAATTTTAATCATACATATACTTATGTACTTAACTGAAATTTTTACTCTTCTACAATTTCCATCAGTTGATTGATTGTTACTTATTTGAAAGGAGAAATGTTATATTACAACGCTGATAGAACATGCGACTTTTTTATGTTGAAATGAAAACTTGAAAATTTCAATAAAGCAATCTAGTTGATATATATATCTAATCGATTGTTTTCGCGCTTTTATTTTACTTGCGGAGGAAGGTAGTAACTGGCAAACCAAGCGCCTAAAGGTATGTACGCAAAAACGGAATATCCGTATTGTTTGCGACTTGACTAAATTTTAAAATCCCCGATTTCTACCAGGCGCGCATAATCGCATAGCAAGGTGCCGCCCAGAAAAATGTCTGCCAACGCTGCAAAATCCCGATTTCTACCAGGCGCGCATAATCGCATAGCAAGGTGCCGCCCAGAAATATGTGTGCCGACCCTGCAAAATCCCGATTTCCACCAGGCGCTCATAATCGCACAGCAAGGGCCGCCAGCCCAGCAAAGACAGTGGCGATAAAATCCCCGAATTCACCAGGCGCGCATGATTGTGCAGTAAGCTGACGCCCGCAAAAATTTACATGTATAGTTGTTGGTAGTATTTTATCCGGAACAGTGTTGCCAGACGTTATATATTAAAAAAATAATAAAGTAAACATAAAAGATGCTTTGTTACCAAATGTGTTATTTATTTTCATAATTTTTTCTTAACGCATTAGCGGATCAATCAAAAACGTTGCTGAATTTCTAGTGCCACATTTGAAAAATATTTTCTGAATTATTGGTAGCACTTTATCCGGGCATAGCGATGCCATACGTCTTCTTTTATGATATTTAAAATGTTAGAACAAGCAAAGTTAGACTGCTTTTACACAGTTCAAGTATTGAATTCAATTCTGCTCGCATGTGGGAGGGGGTGAGAAGAAAAGGGACGAGTACACATGCGTCTGTACCGTCAAGTCGTTTCAACTTTCTTGCTTTGCTTTTGGCATTTTCGTTGCTTCCCATTTAAAGAACCAAAGACTTGAATTCAACAGAATTGAAACGTGTAAAAGCAAATAAAAAACACAAAAGAGAATGAGCAAGAATTGCTTTCAAGTACTTGAATCATGTAAATCAGGTAAATTGAAATATGTCAACAAATTACTGGCAACGTCAAAGATGCTGCTGCTAAATCGTATCCAATCGCTCCAACTGAGTACCTGCTTCCATGGCGCTTTCAAAAGCAATTAATGTGGTCAGAAGGATCCCATACAATTGGATCTTCCCTCATTTCTTTGATTGATAAAGCACTTTCCTTTTCTAATTTTTTAGGGCTATCACCGAATCCATCGTAGTTCAATTTTTCGTGAAATCTACGAAAATTCTATCACTGAATCCCAATTGCTATGAACGCGGCATATACTTTGAATGCGTAGGTTCGTAGCAATTCCGACTCAGTACTATCATTTCCGTAGATTTCACAAAAATCTGACAACGATGGATTTACATATATCCCAGGATACTCATGATTCGTAAACAATTATTAGGTATTGTTGTAATTGTAGCTCTTTATCCGATACGCACTTCCATTGTTCCCAGATGATTTGTTGTTCTGTTAAGATATATAATGTTAGACATATCGAATGAAAAGCTTTAATTAAATATACGTTCATTTTTATCTAAATACAGTAAACTCTTATGTAAAAAGAATATAAGGTACTGTTGATTTCTGAGGATAGCAAGATTTTATTTTTTTAGGTTATGTTCTTTCCTGAGTTGTCTACATGGGCTCGATGACCAAAAACAGTATAGGTCAACACACACACCATCTGTCTTATGATGATGAATATGAAATTACCTGAGCGCTTCTAGCACCGCGAGTTCCTTCTTGATTCAAGTCCTTTATTATTTTCGCGGCATTATTCAATCATCACTTTTTCATTTTTATCATGCGCCCAAGAATGATAGAATACACCGTGTCATGCGCCCATAACGAAAGTGGAATGTTGCCAGATTGTTGAAGGAAGATTAGTTTGGCATAAAATCATTAGTTAAAATTTTTGTTTAGCCTAAATTTAGTATATCAGGTAAAAAATCGATTCGGATTTGTTTTTTAATACTACTATATCTCTTACAACATTACAAAAATTAAACAGAAAATAAAATACCTCGTCACCGATATGAGGGAATTTTCCGAAAAATTCAACACTGATTTTTGACAATCCAGCGCTGCGCCCAGCTGACAGAAATTCTTTTTCTCTGCAGCTTGTGAATTTACCGCGGTGCAATTCTTAAAATGTCAACAAATAGTAAATACTAGTAAAAAATAAGTATTTTAACAAATTATTTTCACTTAAATGAATTCAAAAATTCCCTTAGGTATCAGGCCTCCGGCGAAAAGGCCTAAATTAGAGTTCAAATCAACATCAAACGGTAAAATGAAGGAGGAGCTCGATGAATATGGTGAGATATTTTTTATTACAATTATTTGGATTGTCCCATCATTGGTAATACTTAATTTTTCAGAACTAGAGCCNATGAAGGAGGAGCTCGATGAATATGGTGAGACATTTTTTATTACAATTTGGATTGTCCCATCATTGGTAATACTTAATTTTTCAGAACTAGAGCCGTCCGCCTTTAATCCAAAGTACCGCGTTTGTCCATATTTGGACACAATCAATCGCCATTTACTGGATTTTGATTTCGAAAAACTCTGCTCCATTTCACTGACTCGCATAAATGTTTACGCGTGTCTAGTTTGCGGTAAATATTTTCAAGGCCGGGGCACCAATACTCATGCTTACACGCATTCCGTATCCGAGGCCCACCATGTTTTTCTCAATCTACAAACGTTGCGTTTCTACTGCCTGCCTGATAATTACGAAATTATCGACTCGTCGCTAGACGATATCAAGTATGTGCTGAATCCCACATTTGAGCCCAAAGATATACGACAACTGGATCGTTCGGAGCCTAAATATTCACGCACAGTAGATGGCACACTTTATCTGCCCGGTGTTGTGGGTCTCAACAACATAAAAGCTAACGACTACTGCAATGTGGTCCTGCACGCACTGTCACATGTCGGCCCATTGCGGAATTACTTCCTGCGTGAGCAAAGTTATGCGAAAATCAAGAGACCGCCAGGTGATTCTATCTTCAATCTTGTACAGCGTTTCGGTGAACTAATGAGGAAAATGTGGAATCCACGGAATTTCAAGGCGCACGTATCTCCGCACGAAATGTTACAGGCCGTGGTACTATGGTCTAAAAAGCGCTTTCAAATAACCGAACAAGGAGATCCCATCGATTTTCTATCTTGGTTCTTACACACACTGCATCGCGCAATGAAGGGCAACAAAATGCCAGATTCGTCCATCATTTATAAAATCTTTTTGGGGGAAATGAAAATTTATACACGCAAAATTCCGCCGGTGGAACTCGATGATACACAAAAATCGCTACTGCTTGCCACAGAGGAGTATCAGGAAAAATGCGAGGAGTCTAACTTTTTATATCTCACTTGCGACCTTCCACCACCGCCTTTGTTCACCGACGAATTTCGCGAGAATATTATTCCGCAAGTAAATCTTTATCAGCTGCTAGCGAAATTCAATGGCACCACCGAGAAGGAATACAATACGTATAAAGATAATTTTCTGAAGCGTTTCGAAATCACGCGGCTGCCACAGTATATTATACTGTATATCAAGCGTTTCACAAAGAACACATTCTTTCTGGAGAAGAATCCGACAATTGTTAATTTCCCCATTAAGTAAGTGATGGAAAATTTTGTATGACTAAATATTTTTAAAAACGATTTTTTTCTCACAGGAACGTGGATTTTGGAGAAATTTTGTCTATGAAGAACCTCGAACAGCTCAAAAATACCAAATACAATTTAGTGGCGAACATAGTGCATGATGGTGAACCGAAAAAAGGCACTTATCGTGCACATATTTTGCATAAAGCCAACGGCCAATGGTACGAAATGCAGGATTTGCATGTAACTGAAATTTTACCACAGATGATTACACTCACAGAATCGTACATACAAATCTATGAGCGTAATAATGAATGATAAAATATCGATTGTGCATTTAAGTGAAGCTCTACTTACATAGATAAGTTTATAATAAATTAAATTTGTATTTTAAGAAAATTTAATTTGCAATTAAAAAATGCAAAATTTTGAAGAAATGTTTCCCTTAATTACATTTTGTATTTACTAGTTCCCACAATAGACAGCATAATCCGTATCTAAGTGTGTTTCCACCTACGGAGGCGGTCCACCTAATTCACTGTAAAATTGGCATTATTTTAGAAGTCCAATTAAAACGCCTAAATGAAACTACTAAAATGTGTATTCCTAAAAAATAAACAAGTGTCCTCCAAATTTTCAAATATCAATATGTTCTGCGCATGCGCTAGTCCCCTACATCTATTACCAGTTAAGTGACGTAGTGACATATTCAAATGTTCTCTTCTTCCTACACTGTTTACCTTGTTCACTGCTGCTATGTGTGCTAGGGCATGTAGCAACAAATAGAATATCGATTCAATTGATAAAAAAAAAAGGTGTAACTCAGGCATTAGTTATCCCGTAGCGTGAATATTTCGCTTAATCCGATTCAAAAGTGCTTACAACTTTAAATTGAGTATGGCTGAAGGGACATACGAATATGAATGTATGAGAGCGGAATTGTTAGGCATAGAGAAGCCCAATGAGGAGGAGTTCGAGAAGGCGCGCACAGAGCGCTTGAGACTTGAGCAGGAGGAAAAAGACGCCGCCGAGGCTGCGGTAATGACACAATAACCTACATATTTATATTCGTGTATACTGGTAATCAAATTATTATATGCAATCTGTTCTTTTATGTTCAGCTTCTAGAACAACAGGAGGATCAAATGCAAAATGTAGGTGGTCGTTTAGATGAATTGAATACGATACTTTCATCTACGCAACAAAAATTAAATCGATTCAAACAGACAGCTTGTGGCAGCCTGTCGAATATATTCAGTCGAGGTTCAGTAGATTTAGCAGATGGTACACCTTCTACCTCGGCGACAGCCAGTCGACGCAACACCACCGCAACTGGTAGCTCGGTTAGTGGTCATAATAATGGAAAGATTGTCTCGGACATAAATAGTGCTTCACAAGATCTTGATGATATGAAACAAGGGGAAGATGCAGGAGACATAAAGCCCATTATACCGACAGAACGAATTAGGGAAGCCAAAATAGATATGCAGAAAAAGATGACCTCACATTTAGACGAATTAGATGCATTAATTAATAAGGCCGATAATGCAGAAATTTCAATGTCAGAACAAACAAAGCAAATGCGACGTATGGCAAAGTAAAGTGGAGAAGGCAGTGACAAAATGTGAGATTAGTAGGTTACTGATTTCTAAGAATTACTTGTTAAATAAATAATACTCCTAAAATGTAATAAGTGTTATAAAGTAATTATTATAAAAAAATTTAAATTCATGAATCAACTGAATTAAGTTCGTTAATTAAATGAACCCAGTATTCTACAGATTTAATTTAAATTTATTATGAAAATTGAAACACATACCATACGTTACTATTAAGAGTTAGTTCAGCATGATTTGTTGATTTAATAAGACGTCTAATAAAGCACATACGTAAACAGCAAATACTGAGAATGAAAAATCCCAAAGATGAGGCCTCTAAGCCTTAAGAAATATTCAATCTCGCCTCCTGCTTTCTACCAAAACATATAGAAATGATTGTTTTTGTAGTACGTCTAACAAATCTAAAACAAAAATAATATTTGGAATTCTCATTACTAGACAACGTTTTTTTTTTTTTTAGTTAACTATCAGGTATCTTCTGCAAGTCTTACGATTTCAAATCGATTTACAAACTCTATTTCAAAGGATCTACAACAATACTTTGCATACATGCCTGTAATACTATATTCACATTAGAGCATAAATTACTTTGTTTCGATCAAATTACTTCACTTAAAAAAAGTAAGTTCACATTTTTTCACAATTTCTATAGATATGTCATTAACACGTGTAAGTACGGAGTAGGCGACCCCTTAGAGGCGCTGATAAAGCTGAATAGGAAACGTAAGCATAAATATCGAGGACCAAAAAAAACACTATATTATCTTTTCTTGTCTAGTTTAATTCTTTTCGTCCACCAATTTTTATTGACATTCTGTAAATGTTAAGATTTCGAAGCGATATGAACACATTTTATTTGACTACAATACTTAGTATTTCAGATTATAATTAAATTGCAAGCATAATTATACACTAAATACGTACATTTACAAACATATGTACATATATGAGAATTTACTTATTTCTGCAATTAAACTTATGTAGTATGTATACCATTCTGAGTCTACTCCGATTTAAAATTAGAGACAAATCATACTATTTAATTGTTGATTACAATCATAGAAAAAATAAGCGCATTGCAAGTTTATGGTTATAAATAAACATGAAAATTGTGAATATATGTATGTACATACATATGTACATACGTAGAAATGTATACATTCCAAATAAACCCATAACAAAGAGTTGTAAGCAAATAATTAAGCCAGTCCATCGTCATTTAACCTCGCTCCATTACTCTTTCTTTAATCTTTATAAAATATGTAACTCAGCTGAAAATGGTCATGGGTGTAACGATACAATTCGGGTAATAATAGCGCATTGTCATCCAATTCGTCTAGTAGTGTGCTAAATAATGTGGGCGATACCTTTAGTACATGTATGGACATATCCTCTTTCCAAGTCTTCAATAGTAAATTGTCACTACTGCCATCACTGTCTTTATCTTCAGTTTTGGTCTCTCCTCCACCTTCATCTTCCGTCTCATCCAGTAGTCTATAAAGTAGTT